ACTGGGTACAGCCCTGGGCAGGTAGGGACTGGGTACTGCCCTGGGCAGGTAGGGACTGGGTACTGCCCTGGGCGGGTAGGGACTGGGTACTGCCCTGGGCGGGTAGGGACTGGGCACTGCCCTGGGCGGGTAGGGACTGGGCACTGCCCTGGGCAGGTAGGGACTGGGTACTGCCCTGGGCGGGTGGGGACTGGGTACTGTAACTTGTAACTCAGACCATACATACTTGGTACACGCAAGTAAACATTTTTATGTCAATCAATAGTTTCCGGGTCCTTTGTTCGTTGAAAAGCCAATTTTGTGAGCATTCTGTGAGACTAGAGGGGTCAGAAAGGTGTAGTCTGGGTAGTGCCCGCATTAGTGGATTATTTCTGTACCCCAGTGCAGTTGCCACACTCGCTATCAGCCACCCAACGGTCAGTGACGTACTGATCTCCTGGTTGACGACTTTCCTCGAGTCCTTCCAGCATGTCGACTCAAAGTCCAGCACCATTAAATAGTCATAGTCTTGGTCTGTTGGTGTACAAGACAAAAAAAGACGAAGAAGACAAGCAAAAGAAACAAGAAATTTTAAGTAGGAATCAAGAGCCCATAAAAAAGAGTATGCAACTGTGATCTCTTTTCTTCGGGCCAGATGTGCGGCACGCTGCCTTCATTACATCATCCAGCTGCAGTCCGCGCACTGCGGAAAATCAAACACCGCATTATCCCTCTGGTGTGAAATGAACTTTCGTACGGAACTGGAGTTTACGGGCCAACATTTAGAGATCGCGTAGGTACCGGAACGAATCGAGCAAAAATGGATGGGCTCGTACGTGGGTTGAGTGCATGCTTTCAGAGGGTGATGGAGGCAAGTTACGTAATGAAGGCAGCGCGCTGCGCACTGACCCATAACCACAGTTGCACACTCTTGTTTATGCACTCTTTGTAGGAAGTAGTTTCAAACCTGAGATGAGGGTAGTTTTGCCGAAACGTTGCAGAAATCTGTTCTGCTCAACGTCAACACAAAGAAATTACGTGGAATGCGTACTGGGAATTTCCTGCGTCAAATTTGACAGTTTTCGCACTAATTTGCATGATACGCAGCAGAACCGCACGCGTTTTCTTAGTGGTATGCACAGGTAGTCGGGTACCCATGCTACCCGTGAGGACCTCGGGTAGTCGGGTACAGAATAGTACCCGAAAACCTGAAGTCGCAGACGACATCATGTGCAGTGCATGTGTACAAGTTCATGTAATACCCCGCAAGTCCACACAGTGTGTAAGGGAAGGGGTGCAGTGTGGTATTACCATGGAAACATTACCCGATCGGGTACCCGTGCTACCCGTGGAAATCTACCCGAACCCGATACCGGAAGAAAACGCTACCCGACTCAGCACTACGTTTTCTTTGTGTGTGTGCCGCAGCGCAGTGACCACTCATCACTATGTACATGTAGACACCTGGAACCCAAGCACACGAAATCGTACAAGTAGACTCTAACCCAGACATCCGTTCTCTACAGGCCCGCCGAAACCGGTCCGGTTGGTCAGGTCATCACCGGACGAACTGTTACTTGTTGGCCACCAACAAATGTTTCCTACTGTGGAGGTTGTGTGCACCCACTCTTTCACACACAACGTTTGAAGGAGTATGGTACAACTGGACCAATCTAAACTTGCTTCCAGGGGTCCTGCTCTACGTATGGTCTCTACGTTTCACGTAGAACAGAGCCTCATATAGATGCGGAGTTGCACGATCTGTATACTAGTACACTGCATGCACACTGTACTCTTGCTTCCATGCTCAAAATTTACGTAGAAAATATTTCTCATGCAGTCAAAGCATCTCACCGACTCTCTTCACAGCAAAGCCATGATCTCCTCCAAATCTCTCGATCAATCCCAATATTCTGCGACCATGATAAAACAGCAGACGTTCCCATTACTGCACGCGCCACACGGCATCACTAGTAGACACAGAAGCAGCAGCAGCATACTTGGCCAATCTTCTTGTTTTACTTTGTCCTTTGGACATGGTCACGAACGAATGTCAATCTGTCGTCTCGGGCAAACCTGGCCAGCCCGTTGGTCTCCAGAAGTTTTGACTGAGATAAAGTCAACTATCAGACGCCCTCATGGCCTGCAATGCCTCCGTGCTGTAAGACGGCAAGCTGCATTCTCCAGTAAATCTGTTGATAAAGAAGCGATTTTCATTCACGCAGTTGCAAGGCCTTTTTGCCTTTTGGTGTCGTCGTTTTCTTCCTCAACGACGTCGACGATCGGGCTTCTCGTTTTTTTGAATCGGCTGCGAAATCGCGCCAATGAAACATCCTACGGGTTTGGCTTCAAACCCACCGGAGTTATACAATTTCGATTAGAGTTATATGGATTTGATGAGGAGAATCGGATGAAGTGCGAGTACAAGCATGGGAGGGACCGTTGGGGGTTTCCCGGATCCCGAATCGGCCGAGGAGTTTTCAAAACGCACATCTGCCCAGCCTACGCCCAACGGCAGCTTGTCCAGATATCCCATCCGGAGGAATAGAAGAGAGAAAACAAATGCTTGATCAGAACGATTATCTTTCAGAATAGTATTCAACCTAAGCTAGAAGGGGTTGCTGGCAGTCTCTATTTGCCGTAGATTGTCTCGAATAACCAAACCCAAGGGAACAGTAGAGAAAGATGGAGAAAGAAGCTGCAACGACGTCGTGGTCATCATTCGTTCGCAGTCTGCTGAGATGTGGCGAACGAGCAGCTCACATTGCACGAACGATTCGCTCTGAGGAAAGTTTGTTTTCACTCCTGATCGAGGAGAAGACGGGTGCAAGCAATACCAAGCTGAGCGGATCCGATTTCAAAACTCTGGCAGACGTCCTTATCCAGTGTTGTATCGAAGCTCAGCTGACACACGAGGTATGTTGAGTTTGAAAATCCGAATTTTGAGGATATGGTCTGGACTACTACAAGTCCCAGATCAGTGGATGGTTTCTGCAGCGCATTTCACTGCCTCGTGTCCACTTGGCGCAGTCTCGCTTTAGTTTGTGACGAGTTGGTTTAGTACTAGTAATTAAATTTAGTTTGTCAATAGTGGTGAAACGAATGTCAAAACCTACTAGTCGAATATTCTTCAGCTTAAAGGGGAAGTATACCCTAAAATCAAATTTTCACCAGTTGTAGTCTTCGGGGTGCTGAGTCGAATGGTCTTGGTCCGAGGAAGCTGAGACGCTCCCTTCCTACTTGAATCCCAATCGAACTCGCGCACTTCCACCGAAACTGGGTGACTGCGCCCTACTAGATGGGGATTTGTATGCAAAATGTCACTAAAAGCGCCATTTCGTTCTTATAAAAGCACGGATGACCGCGATTGGCCCATATGTTGTAGTCTTTTGGACGCTGAGTCGACTGGTTTTGGTCCGAAAAGGCTGCGATGCAGCGTTCCTCCTTTATTCCCAATCGAACATGGTTGAAGAAGCGGTCACGTGCTCCTGGGTGCCCAAATCACCTGGTCACCGCGCCAGCAGGCGACAACTTTCACACCAAGGTTCAACTCGAGTTCAACTCGAGTGACAGGACTGCACCCAAAAAAGGTCAAACAGGCTAGTAAGTTGTACCCTGCAGGCACGGTGACCAGGCGACTGGTGTACGCACGAGCACGTGACCGCTTCTTCAACCATGTTCGATTGGGAATAAAGGAGGAACGCTGCATCGCAGCCTTTTCGGACCAAAACCAGTCGACTCAGCGTCCAAAAGACTACAACATATGGGCCAATCGCGGTCATCCGTGCTTTTATAAGAACGAAATGGCGCTTTTAGTGACATTTTGCATACAAATCCCCATCTAGTAGGGCGCAGTCACCCAGTTTCGGTGGAAGTGCGCGAGTTCGATTGGGATTCAAGTAGGAAGGGAGCGTCTCAGCTTCCTCGGACCAAGACCATTCGACTCAGCACCCCGAAGACTACAACTGGTGAAAATTTGATTTTAGGGTATACTTCCCCTTTAACGAACGAATGAACGAATATTCTTTTGGTAACACAGATGACATCACATGCCCTCCTCTCAGTCATTTGATGGATATTGTCAATTTATTAGGTATGACAAACGGTAGTGCCACGTAAATTATACTGCCACATAAGGCTACTTCGAAGTTCATAAATGTTATGTACACCATTGGCAGTCCAGTAAGGACATACATGTGCATGCATGCAGTACAAAGTAACAGGCAGGCTTTACGCACTGCACTGTACCGTGTTCGGCGTGCATGTATGTACAGGCACTGCATTCGAAGTGACGTAACGAATACTCGAATGTGACTTAACGAATATTCGAATGTGACAAACCGAACGAATGTTCGAATGTTCGAATATTCGTTTCACCACTATTTGTCAAACATCTGAACGTTGGATTAATTAAAAAAACAAAAAAACATAATATTTAGTTTTAAAAAAAAACAGTTCTATTATTACATCTCAATACACTGACCGATGTGAACAGAGTGGATGTTAGCCAACCAGGCCAGGTAAGGAAAGTAATACTAGCTAGATATGAGGGCTGTGAGACGTGCGTGGAACATGAATCGACTAACACACGCACTCTGCCGATTTGTCTGCATGTCAGGAAGCCAGTCACGCGGTCATTTCCCCTCACGAGCTGTGGCCAGAACGAAGGGGTTACGTGCATCATGCATGTATCATATGTGCACATTCAGCACACACTGGCCAAGAAGAGGCACTAGGCCACCCCGGCAGCGTCCGGAAGCTTGGGAATGTATACAAACGAACTGAAAACTCCTCGTACGTTTGCATGCTAGCCCAGCCAGAATCTAGGGGGTTGTTGTTGTTGTTGTTGTTTATTTTACTTGGGTGAGGTACCTGATGTGCAATATCCATGTGTGTGTTTCTCACCTGTTGTGTATACAGTATCCATGCCTGGCAGGGCGTATCCATGGTGAGGAGGAATCCACGTTCACCAATCAGCTCGGCGAAAGCATCCGGGTCGTAGTTGACGTTTGTTCCGACCC